CCCCCCCCCCCCCCCCCCACCTCAAATCCCCTCACTGATGTCTGCTCTTAGAATGGGATCTCTCTCCACCTGGTTCCTTCCCTGGGACAATGGACTGCATTTCGCTTTTCTCTCCGTCCCTCCATTTCCCTTGGATAAGAATACTACTTAGTCACCATGTCCTGAGCACATCCTCTGTGCCAGGCTTTGCAATAAACACTTCCCACTGTTGTCTCATCAACGTCTCCCAATCACACAGCGACCGTGTGTGTGTGTGTGTGTGTGTGTGTGTGTGTGTGTGTGTGTGTGTCTGCTGTATTTTTTTTTAAATACTCAATTCTGTTATAGAGAAAACAATAAAGCCACACGGATAAGGAGACGAACGAAACAAAGGTTGGATGTTAAGAAGCAACTCATGAGGTCTGTGAGACATGTTAAGAACGTGAGCTGAACACGGGTGGGGAGGGCGTAAGGATCCAGTAGCTCCAGGTTCCACGCGTCCTGAGGCGCCTCCCCATTGGCGACTCCGGCTCTGTTCCATGAGTCCTGTGCCCAAGTCATGCGGGACCCTGGCACCACCCAGGCGCAGAGCCCTCTGGCTTACCTGCCACTCTGAGGGCTGAAATCACACCTGGCACGCGTGGGCACGGAGCCAGGCGCACCCCAGAACGCGGGTGTCGGGGACCTCTGATCGCTCGTGCCCCGAACTAAGTGTGTTAACCTGGCCCATCTCTTTTAGCTCCTTGCGTTTGTTTTAAAGGGATTCAACCAACCATGGAACTGGAGTGCCTGAGTCAGACGGGTGAGCTTCTCCGCTCAGGCTGCTCCATCACCCGCCAGGTTTCCATAGCCTCTCATGACGGTCCCACGGCCACGGCCACGGCCACGAGATCCCACTTTGCCCATTTTGTACTTGAGCAAACTGAGGACAGCGAGGGGGAGTCCCTTGCTGAGATGAGAGGCTTCTGAGCGCAGAGACCTCCGTGCATGTGCCATACAGGGTGGCCACGCTCCCTCCTCACGGCAGCCCTCGCTGGGCCCCCGAGCCCATTCTGTGTCTCTACTTGACTGTGTCTCTTCGTCTCTACTTGACTGTCTCTCTCCCTCTCCCGAAATCTTTCTATCTGTCTGACTCTAGGGCTCTCACCTCTGAGCTGCCCCAGCCTGTCCCTCCTTTGCCCCACCCCCCCAGTCTCTCCATCCCTCTGTCAAATCCCTCTTCCTCAGTAAGTCTCTCTAGCTGGCCTCAACCTCTCTGCTCCTGCCATCTCTCTCTCTGCCCCAGGCCCCTCGGTCTGGGTCCCTCCCAGCCTCCCCTCCTCCCGCAGCTGCAGGAATGATGCCATACCCAGAGGAGGCAGTTCCATCTCGAATTCCATCCAGTCTACAGCTCAGAGAGGTTTTCCTCTCCCAGCTTTAATTCCCACCGGGGGCGCTGGCAAGAGAGTCTGGGAACTTTTATTAAGGGGACAGCGCCCCACCCACCAAGCAGGCACGGGTCCTCAGGGGCCGCGCTCCGTGCCCTCTAGACCCCCAGCATCTCTTTCTTCCATCCTCGGCCAGCTGAGTCACCCTCTGCTCGCTCTCTCTCTCTCTCTCTCTCTCTCTCTCTCTCTCTCTCATTTCTTTCTCCATGACGTCAGATCTCAACCAGGTCTTGAGAAGGGGCGGAGGGGTCATGGGGAGGGGAGCATCACCTGCGCCCCTTCCCCTCTCCTCCCCCAGAGCAGGCTCTGGCCACAGGATGGTGTCGAGGTGACAGACAGCATTTATTCCAGACTCCAGTGTCCATGATGAGGGGGCGGAGCAGGGGTGGGGATCCAGTGTCAGACTATACAGCAGGACGTCAGGTGGGGGACGAGCAATGGAGGCAGGAGGTAAAAATAGCCTCAGCTAGCCGACCCTCAGAGCCTCGTCCCAGGCCGGGCCCCGGGCTTGGGTCCAGAAGCTATTCTGGGGCCTGGGAGAGTCACACTCCCTGGAGGAAGGTCCCCTCCCACCCACGAGAGAGAGCGAACGAGCGAGCGCACCCTCCCTCCCTCCCAGCAGTGTCTGTAGGTCCCTGCCCAGCCTGCAGAGGAAGGAAGGGAGGGCCGGAGAGGGAAGAGGGCAGGCCGGGAAGGCGGGGGAGGGCAGAGCGTGAGCAGGGCTGGTTCTCTGATGCCTGCAACTCCAGGTTGTGTCCGATGACTGCCTCTCGGAGGCCCTCAGGCTTAGCACTGGGGAGAAAGTGGAAAGGTCAGCCGGTGCCCAGGGAGGCTGCTCCACCCCCAGCCGGTGCCCAGGGAGGCTGCTCCCTCCTCGCCAGGGTGCCCAGGCCCTCACCCACCTCATCAGGGATGGCTCTACTGACACGCCTGGCTCCTCCAGAGGCACTTCCCATGAGAAGGCCTGTCTGCTCAGGCCGCTGGGACCCTGAATGGCTCAGCTCTGGCTCCCCAGGCGGCCTGGGGAGAAGAGGCAACGTGTTGGAGGTCGTCCCAGCTGGGAAGGCAGTGGGGATGGGGTTGTATTGGATGGAGAAGGACTCGGAGGGTGGGTGGGAATGGGTTGGTCTTTTGGTTGTATTTTTGAAGTGGTTGTTCAAGGCAGCAATCTCTGGTGTTTACCTATGCCGCCATCTTGGTTTTTCTTTCATGTGCACTTTAGAAGAATGTGTAATCTGATGTTCTGGGATGAAATATTCTGTAAATGTCAATTATGTCCATTTGGTCTAGTGTTTCATTTAAGCCGGTATTTATTGATTTTCGGTTGGGTTGATCTGCCTAGAGCTGTCAGTGGAGTATTAA